AAGCTCAGAATAGAATCTCCATGTTGGCTGTTGACATCTAATGACCCAATGGAGACCACCCTTTTTTGGAGTGGACTTTCCAAGGTTTAAAAAAAAAAGGACATTTCAGTTGCTCAGTTGAAGATTTTACTCATAGTAGATGTTAACCAAGTTCTTGAGTGGTTGAGACTCCAACTCAAAAAAAAAAAGTCTAGGGAAGCTAAGGTCAAAGTCTCTAACCAGAACCTGCACCTCTGGTTTGCTAAGCTTCATTCTGTAGCAACTGGGACTACCCAGAAGCACTCAGTTTTAGTCTATATCTGAAGTACTTTGAATGAATGACAATGTAGTACTATATCCTTGGCCTTGAGATCAATATAATAATGGTACACAAACACAGTGTTGCATCTTCTGCCAAACCACCGTCCGAGGAAGTGACTTCAGTCTTTGCACCTTGAGGATGTCTACCTATATTTCTTTCAGTTTGTCAGAACTATTTGCATCGTCTTGATCTTTCATTTCATTTTGTTTTGTTTTGCCTTGGCTACCAGGTAAGTCAGAAATACAGTTTTAGGATCAAGTATTTAAGGCTCGATATTATAAGAAATGTGCTGTCTGTGATGTCTTTCCAAAAGGATAAATAATTCTTGGGAGATTTTTGCTGCTGTTGTTATTGTTTTTGAGTCGGAGTCTCTTACTCTGTCATCCAGGCTGGAGTGTAGTGGCACACTCATGGTCATCGCATGGATCGAAATATACTTCACCTGCTGGGCTCAGGCGATCATTCCACCTCAGCCTTCCTAGTAGCTGGAACTACAGGTGCACACCACCACACCCAGATAATTTTTTAATTTATTGTAGAGACGAGGTCTTGCCAAGTTGCCCAGACTGGTCTCAAATCCCTGGGTTCAGGCAGTCCACTTGCCTGGATCTCCCAAAGTGCTGGGATTACAGACATGAGCCACCCCATCTGGTCAACAATTCTTGTTAAAGTTCTAAATGAAACAAAGGACCATCTTTCCTTCCTGTTTTACTCCAAGTTTCTGGTAGAATTCTCAGCTCCTTTCCACTCACTGTTGTTGTTTCTCTGACCTTATTTTCGTTGTCCTCTATGAGCTTTTATTGTAAGCCACGATATATTTTGTTAGAAGTGTGATAGGGCATGAGGGACCAGTCCATCAAGTCATGCACCCTGAGTACCTGGAACAGCGCCTGGTGTGCTGGTACACACTGAATGACAGGATGGAGGGATCCTGGAAACTAACCACTTACCTTTCTGTAACTGGGAGGGAATGGCCACTAGAGGGAGCAGGTTCCCATTTAGCCATGAAAAGGGCACTTCCCACACCTGGCCCAGGGGTCCACAGGTTTGAGAGGGTAAGAGCAGTGTTTTGGGATGGTCATGGAATCTGGTATTTCTGAAATTCGTAAGACCTCCCCACCCGAATGAGTGAACAGTTGGGTATTCCAGGATCACTCATCAGATACACCAGGCAATGTCAGTGCCAGTCCACTACTGCACCATACAGCCCTACTTAACTGCAAAACAGGCAACCCTGCCAGAGAGGGGCACCAGCCACCACATGAAACAAAAGCACAGTGCACAGACCAGGTGTTCTGAGCCAACAGCGCACTCTTCAAAAAAATACTCAAGAATCAAGGCTAGGCACAGTGGCTCACGCCTGTAATCCCAGCACTTTGGGAGGTGGAGGCAAGAGAATTGCCTGAGCTCAGGGTTCAAGACCAGCCTGAGCAACATGGCAAGACCTCATCTCTACAATAAAGCAAAAAACTAGCCAGTCGTGGTGGCACGCGCCTGTAGTTCCAGCTACTTGGAAGGCTGAGGTGGAAGGATCGCCTGAGCCCAGCAGGTTGAGGCTGCAGTGGCTATGAGTGTGCCACTGCCCTCCAGCCTAGGAGAGAGTCTTACTCAAAAAATTTTAAAAATTAAAAATAAATAAAATACTCAAGAATCAGATAAACCAGCTAGCTCTTGACCCAGTAGTACAGTTAGTTGAGTAGAGATAAGACAGCAAGAAGAACAGAGGGGCAAGTTGTGAAAAGTAGTCTCATGACGTTAGTGACACGGTGGCTAATTTGCACCTTAGCGCTTGGCATGTGATCCCACAGTTTGCTGATGTTTTCCTCTCTTCAAAGCCTTGGGGCCTCGGGGAACCAAGGTCTGCTAGTTCCATCTGTTCATCAGGAAGTTGGGAGCCGAGGAGGAGGAGGCTTTGCCCAGTGGCACGGTGAGGTGCCAGTTTGGCCATGTTAAAGCCCAAGTCCTTGTCACTTTGTGCTTTTCCCACCATCTAGATAGGAAGCCTCTGGAGAGCAGGTACTTATGGCTACTTTGTTGGAGCCAAAGCCTCCATTTCCAGAGCTCTGACTTTTTCTGCTCCTCATGAAATTCAGATGAGCAATATAATTTTCTTACAACGGAGAAACTGACACATACGGAATTCCATAAGCCAGCAGTTCTTAGCCTGTAGGTCCATGAACTTGGATGGGGGGAAAAAATCACATCCTTATTTTCATGAATAGTTAACTAAAATGTAGCATTTCCTTAAATTATGAATATAGGCAATAAGTCACAGTAGAATCAACAGAGCTTGTGACTGCCACCAACAGAAACCACAGATATTGTCATACCATATCACATGCTGTAGATATCTCAAAACATTGTTTATGGCCATCACTACTTTAAAATTAGGGTAGTCCTTAGATCACTGCTAGATCTTATTGTTTTATGCATCAATGAACACAAGTATTACTATATTACAATTTAAGTATTTTCATAGGATCAATTTCTTTTATACCCTAATGGTTTTGCTTGTCTGTTTGAGTCAGTGTCTCTCACCCTGTTGCCCAAGCTGGAATGCAGTGGCACAATCATAGCTCACTGCAACCCCCACCTCCTGGGCTCCGGTGATCTTTCCAACTCATTCTCCTGAGTAGCTAGGACTACAGGTGTGGGCCACTTCACCCAGCTATTTTTTTAACTTCTTTTTTTAATGAGTTGGGGTCTCACTCTGTCACTCAGGTTGGAGTGCAGTGGCATGATTATGGCTCACTGCAGCCTCCAACTCCTGGGCTCAGGCAATCCTCTGCCTCAGCCTCCTGAATAGCTGGGACTACAGGTGCATACCACTACTCCCAGCTAATTTTTTTATTATTTGTGGAGACAGGTCTTGCTATGTTGTCTAGGCTGTTCTCAAACTCCCGGGCTCAAGCAATACTCCCACTTTGGCCTCCCAAAGTGCTGAATACAGGCATGAACTACTGCACCAGTCTTTTTTAAACTTTTTGTGGAGATGAAGTCTCACTATTTTGCCCAACCTGGTCTCAAACTCCTGAGCTCAAGCAATCCTCCTGCCTCTGCCTCCCAAACTGCTGGGATTACAGGTATGAGCTACTGTGCTCAGCCCAGTGTATTTTATTTCACACATTTAAATACATAGGCTTCACCAGACTACCAAAGATTAAGAAAAAAGGTTAAGAACCTTTGCTTAAAGATAATGATACCGCCGGGCTCAGTGGCTCAGCCTGTAATCCTGCACCTTGGGAGACTGAGGTGAGTGGATTGCCTGAGCCCGCAGGTTCGAGACCCGCCTGGGCAACTTGGCGAGACCTCCTCTCTACAATCAATCAAAAAATTAGCCAGGTGTGGTAGTACGCACCTGTAGTTCCAGCTACTTGGAAGGCTGAGGTGGAAGGAGCACCAGAGCCCAGCAGGTCGAGGCTGCGGTGGCCGGGAGCAGCCACTGCACTCCAGTCTGGGCGACAGAGTGAGACTCCGACTCAAAAAAAAAAAAAAAAAAGAAAGTTATAAAGATAATGATACCTTAGGGCTCTATTAACTTCTCAGTCACTAATTTACTGTGGATCATAAATTAATATAATGTGGATTTCTTTTGAAGTTCAGCTTTTAAAACATTAAAGGGAAATCTTAATACTAAGGGACTCACATATAGATTTAATAACAAAAATGACATTATAGAAAGTACATTGATTTGATCATCTACATGTTCTGGATAAAAGGATGTCTCCTGAATCCTTCAACTGCCGTTAAACAGAAACAAGACCTGAGGTATAAGGCAGCTCATGACAATGATTAAAGACCATAGATAACTGATAGGTTGTGGCTGTGGTGATGCCACTTCCTACCTCCCTAAATGATTACAATTTTTTTGAGTTATGAAGTTAATTGTAAAAATAATAGCTAACAGTTGAGAAAATCATTTTTCTAATGCATCTTCAATTAGAATGTCTATCAAACATAGACCTTTATACCCTCTGACCACTGGAGATACAGAATTCATATCAGGAATTTAAGTGTGGAAGTTTGAGGCTTTTAGAAACATGAGAAAATTTGTTTAATAAAATTTAAAATCTTGCATCATCACCACAAACAGAAACTGCAAAGGTTTGGGTAGCAGAACACTTTGTCTTTTTTGAAGCAATGCTGCAGAGATACTCAAGCCAGGAAAACCGTGATCATTTTGATATTGTGTTTTCTACAGGTGTTGAGCAGGCTGGGCTTTTCAGGACCTTCCTGCTGACCTGGAAACGTTTTAAGTGGAAGATCAGCTTTCTACAAGTCATTGATACTCTTTTCAATGCTATTTGTAAGTTTCCTTAGCTTGAAGATACTTCTGCTTTGTAGACATCATCTGCTTGGAGCCATGCATAACTCATAACAATCTCTGGCGAAACCTCAGAAAAAAGATATGCTTTTGTCTCTGATGGATGTCAGAGGCCACTGCGGAACCCCGTGAACACACAAGGCTCTGTGAGGGTGACTCCAACACACGGATAGCTTCTGGGACTTGATTCTCCTGAGGAGTGTGACATAGCTAAGGAGGAAAAAAAGAGCCACCAACAAAAACAGTTGCCAGGGAAATAGGAGAGGGAGCTCTTGACGGCAGGCAGATTGCAACTGGGCTCTGGTTCTTCGCAGGCCGGGAGCTTGCTGGATGGAGTGACACTCGTCCCACTGGGGTCTGAGAAGAGGGAGAGGAATGGCCCAAGAAGTAAACCTGAACTCCCTCAAGGAGTTAGAGCGCCAGGCCATCCTCCAGGTCCTGTACCGAGACCAGGCTGTCCAGGATGCGGAAGAGGAGAGGATTCGGTATGTGGCCTCCATGCCTCCAGTGGCGGGGGAGGTTCTGGGGGGGTTGGAGCTCTTTCTGCTTGAGCCTGCCACCCCTCCGTTTGTGCTACTTGCTCACAAATCACCACTCGCTTATCTGTGGGGCTTCCTGCCTGAGAAGGGTCCGAGGGAAGGGGTGTCAGTGGAGATCACTTTTCTCTCTGAGTTTAGGAGTCGCAGGAACGAGATTCTGCTCTCATGTGGCCCATTTAAGATGGTGCCTTTTGGTCATGAGTCCACTGTCCGCCTGTCTGTCTATTCACCTCCTCTTGGAAATAATTCAAGGGGAGCCCTCAGGTTTCTTTAGGAAAAGACTTCTGCTAAAGGGTTTTCCTATTTTATTTTTGGTGGTACCCACAGGTGCCAAGAAAGCAGCTGAGAAACAGCAAATCTGGTGGAATCCATTCCTGTCTTTTCTCTTTGCTCTCATTTGCTTCCCTGTTGACCGAGGAAAGAGGAGCAAAAAGACCTGAAACCTGCTTAGCTGGTTCCCTGGCTAATTTGTCAACAGGCAGCTTCTTTCTTCACCTGTCTCTAAGCTGCATGAGCCGCTGGATGCGAATTAACACTTAATAAAGCTGGGCTCCAGCAGGTCGAGGCTGCGGTGGCCGGGAGCGTCCACTGCACTCCAGTCTGGGCGACAGAGTGAGACTCCAACTCAAAAAATAAAATAAGATAAAATAAAGCTGGGCTCAGCTAGGCGTGATGGCTCACACCTATAACCCCAGCACTTTGGGAGGCCAAAAAGTGTGCATTGCCTGAGCCTGCGGGTTCAAGACCAGCCCGGGCATCTTGGTGAGACCTTGTCTCTACAATTAAAAAAGAATCATTGAAAATTGACTGGGCATGGTGGTGCAAGCCTATGGTTCCAGCTACTTGGAAGGTGAGACAGAAGGATCACCTGAATCCAGCAGGTTGAGGCTGCAGTGGCCATGAGCATGCCACTGCACTCCAGCCTGGGCGACAGAGTGAGACTCTGACTCAAAAATAAAAATAAAAATTAATAAAGCAAGACTATCTCCTTCCAATAGGAATCACCAAAATAATAATAATAAAGAAAAACAGTGCTAGACTGTATCAAAGCAGGGACCATCCATCATTTGCTGTCAGGATCTGTCTCTGAATACGTTGGTACTTGTTTGTTGGTGCTTATAGAGGACGTGAAGTTTAGAAACGAAACAAAAGGAGCACAGTTTTTGGTTTTGTTTTGTTTCTAATGCCAGAGCACATATACAGAGGGTGCCCCAAAAATGTACACACATTTTAAGAAAGGAAAAACAGTATTAAAATTATAATACTCGGCAACCCCTTTGGGTCCCCTCCCACTGTGGGAGCTTTTCTGTCCCCTCAATAAATCCTGCTTTCAAAAAAAATTATTATTATTATTATTTTTTTTTCTGAGTTGGAGTCTCACTCAGTCGCCCAGACTGGAGTGCAGTGGCCGCTCCCGGCCACCGCAGCCTCGCTTGCTGGGCTCTGGCGATCCTTCCACCTCAGCCTTCCGAGTAGCCGGAATTACAGGCATGCGCTACCACGCCCGGCTGATTTTTTTATTTATTGTAGAGATGAGGTCTCGCTGCCCAGGCGGGTCTCGAACCCGCGGGCTCAGGCAATCCACTCACCTCAGCCTCCCAAAGGCGCGGGATTACAGGCTGAGCCACCGAGCCCGGCTCAAAAAAAAATTATAATACTCAATATATACCGATAACAAAAAATGAATACAAATCACATTTGACTTCTGCAATTGCAAGGGGTGCTCAAAGTGGTTACCATCAGTGTCCACACACTTCTGATGGCAGCGAAATAAAAGTAATACATAGATAACATCTCTTAAAGTGTGTATACATTTTTTCCGCACCCTCGGTAGAACAAAGCTTTGAACAACAAATTGCCTGAAGAATGAAGGGAGTTTTCTGGTTAACTGGAAGATACAATACTCTTTACATCCTCTCTTGTTGTTTCAAAGCTCTTGGAAAGTACTTGTAAACGTTCTTCCATTAAAAACTATAGTACCCTGAGGGGAAAAAAAAAGGAATTTTCTTTGGTGATTGAAGATCTTTCAGTGATTTCAAGACATCATCTTGCATATGAACACAGTAACATAGATAATGAGGTTTTGTCCCAAGAAGGTACTCATCCTAGGGCAAATACTAAAAGTTGAGTTTTAAAGTACCTTTTTAAATTTCATCTTGTTTCTTGGAATTGGTTCCTGTCTCCTAAAAGTGGGTAACAGACATTTTGTAGAAGAGTGCTGTGGTTAATGGTACTGTTTGGGGGTCTAATACAATATTCCCTTTGTACTATGGCTAATACCTAGGAGAACTAGGGGCCAGAAGTGGACTATCCATTAAAAAAAAAAAAAAAAAGCCAGCATGGTGGCTAACACCCGTAGTCCCAGCACTTTGGGAGGCCAAAGTAAGAGGATTGCTTGAGCCCAGGAGTTCAAGACTAGCCTGGGCAACATAGCGAGACCAAAAATAAAAAAAAATTATCTGGGCATGGTGGCACATATCTGTAGTCCCAACTGAGGCAGGAAGATCGCCTGAGACCAGGAGGTCAAGGCTGTGGTGAACTGTGATCATGCCACTGCACTCCAGCCTGGACTCCAGAGTGGGAACAAACTTTAAAAAAAATAGTAAAAGCATAGCATCAGTTAATTTCGTTGGGCGACTCATAGCAATAGCAGGGATGCACGCTATGTATTTCTAGACGTCACCATGCCTTGGGGATTAGAGCTGGTGCCCTTTTCTGTGTCTTTTTCCTCTTCTGTATTTGTGCTTCCTATCATAACGGCCCTTTGGGCACTAAGGGATGACCCTCATAGCTAATGCCTCTGTGCCAGGCCTCTGGCTCCTGCTTTGCCATTTCACCCTCACAGCAAGCCTGGGTGGGAAGGTTGCATCGTCTCTGCTTCACACCTGAGAAAACCCCTGAGCCTTGGCTCTGGGACGATGAGTCGCACCCCAGACATGGTGGACACCAAAGCCCCTTCCCTTGCCACAGGCAGTCCTGCTTGGGCCTGTGCCCTGCAGCCTGGCATCGGGCATTCATGCAGCTGTATCTTCTTTGACTCTATGGGCTGCAGGAAACTGAAGACGCACCTGCAGCAGCTCCGGTGGAGAGGGCCGAAGAGCTCGAGCCAGGAGCGCACAGAGAAATCCTGTGCACGTTGCCAGCAGGCGCTGGGGCTCCTGCTGCACCGGGGGGCCGTTTGCCGGGGCTGCAGTCACCGCGTGTGCTCCGCGTGCCGCGTGTTCCTGAGGGGGACCCACGCCTGGAAGTGCACTGTGTGCTTCGAGGACAGGTGAGCACCATCTGGTAGTCGGATTCCTCCTGGCGACTCCAGACCTGGAGCAAGTTGAGCCCCAAACCATTCATAAACAAAGCAGTCACACTCCCCGCGCACCGTCCCCCCCAGTAAGTGTTTACCGAGTGTTTCCAGAGGGCCTGGGAGTGGGGGAGCTCGCTCTCTGGACTCAGAAGTTACTGACCTGCGAACATACATTTGATCAAAGTGTTTGTTAAAGGACAAGAGTTTGTGATGGTTAAGGATGGGCTAACCTCAGGAGAGGGAAGACTCACTGGGGTTCTCGGCCAGGTGCCTTCATCTCCTTGGAGCTCAGTTCATTCCTTTCAGTGAAAGTGGAGTAAGCCACAACACAGGGAAAATGCAAGCAGCCCTGTGTGGCATTAAATAAGGCCTTTTAGAAGGAGGCAAGCTGACCTGTGTTTGATCCTTAGATAAAGAAATGGTTATGCTTCCTGTTAGTGATAGACTGAATTGATGTGCATTTTAATCTTTTGGTGTTGTGAGGTTTTAAACGAAATTTAACATGGAATTTTTTTTCTTTTTCTTTATTTCAATAGCTTTTGAAGGGGTACAAATAGTTTTTGGTCACATGGTTGCGTTGAATAGTGGAAAAGAAGTCTGGGCTTTAAGTGTACTCCCCACCCCCACCTGTGCACATGGCACCCAATGGGTGATTTTCGTCTCTCCACCCCTTCTTCCCGACCCAGAGTTTCTGTCATCCATTATACCAGTGGTCCCCAACCTTTTTGGCATCAGGGACCAGTTTTGTGGAAGACAATTTTTCTGTGGATGGGGTGGGGACATAGTCAAACCTCACTACTAATGTTAATCTGTATCGCTCTTTTTTTTATTTTAAAGGTATGGGGTACAATTCAGGATTAGGTATACAAGTGGCCATTGTATAGGTAAAGTTTGGGCCTCCCTTTGGTCCCCACTTTGCCTGGTTTGAGATCAGGTTTCCTTATTGATGTTGTGTCCCCACCCCCCACCCCACAGTCTCCCACTACTGTCAATCCCTTTCTTACAGTATTATAGTAATTGTTCAGGGTCCACTTATGAGTGAGAACACGTGTGTTTCTGTGATAAATCACTGAGTATGATAGACTCTAAATCCATTCAAGTTGCTGCAAAGTCCATATGTTTGTCCTTCTTTATGGTTGTGTAATATTCTGTTGTGTATATGTACCACATTTTTAAAAATCCAGTTCAGTTTTGATAGGCAGCATGGTTGGTTCCATGTTTTTGCCATTGTGAATAGTGCTGCAATAAACGTACGTCTGTAGGTATCTTTTTTGTAGAATGATTTGAGTTCCTCCGAGTATATTCCCTGTAGGGGTTGCTGAGTCATATGAAGACACACTGTCTTTGGAAAACACACTGTTTTCCAAAGATGTTGCACTAGTTTGCATTCCCACCAGCAGTGTAGAAATGTTCCTTTTTCTTCACATCCTAGCCAGCATCTGTTGTTTGTTTTATTAATGATGGTCATTCTTACTGGGATTAGGTGGTATCTCAGTGTGGTTTTGATTTGCATTTCTCTGATGATAAGTGAGGCTGAGCACTTTTTCATGTGTCTGCCCATATGTCTTCTTTTGAGAAGTGTCTATTCATGTCTTTTGGCCACTTTTTAATAGGCTGTTTGTTTTTTGCCTTTTGGCATGTTTGAGTTCCTTGTAGATCCTGGATGTTGGGCCTTTGTCAGATAGACAGTTGGCAAATATTTTTTCCCATTCTGTGGACTGCTTCCCCACTCTCTTGATGGTTTCTTTTGCTTTGCAGAAGCTTTTTCAGTTTGATGAGATCCCACTTGTCTAGCTTATCTCTTATGGCATGGGCACTTGGGGTTTTGATTAGGAATTGGTTGGCAGTTCCAATTTCCATGAGGGTGTCTCCTGCATTTTCTAAGTTTCTTTTTTTTTTAATTTTTAAAATTTTTTTAAATTTTTGAGTTGGAGACTCACTCAGTTGCCCAGACTGGAGTGCAGTGGCCGCTCCTGGCCAGCGCAGCCTCGACCTGCTGGGCTCCAGCAATCCTTCCACCTCAGCCTTCCACGTAGCTGGAACTACAGGCGCGTGCTACCACGCCTGGCTAATTTTTTAAAAAATTTATTTATTGTAGAGATGAGGTCTCGCCTGCCCACGCGGGTCTCAAACCCGTGGGCTCAGGCAATCCACTCACCTCAGCCTCCCAAACCGCGGGATTACAGGCTGAGCCTCCGAGCCCGACTCTCTAAGGTTCTTATAGTTTGAGGTTTTACGTGTCAGTCTTTGATCCATTTCGAGTTGGTTTTTGTGTATGGTGATAGATAGGGGACCTGTTTCACTCTTCTGCATGTGGTCAGCCAGTATTCCAATCTGCACTATTCTTTTTTTTGAGTTGGAGTCTCACTCCGTCGCCCAGGCTGGGGTGCAGTGGCATACTCATGGCCACCCCAGCATCTACATGCTGGGCTCCAACGATCCTTCTGCTTCAACCTTCCAAGTAGCCGGAATTACAGGCGCGTGCTACCATGCCCGGCTAATTTTTGATTTATTTAGAGATGAGGTCTTGCCAAGTTGCCTGGGCTGGTCTCGAACCTGTGAGCTCAGGCAATCCACTTGCCTCGGCCTCCCAAAGTGCTGGGATTACAGGCTGAGCCACTGAGCCCGACCTGCACTGCTCTTAAGGAGTGAATGACCTAGATCCCTCGCAGGCACAGCTCATGATAGGGTTCATGCTCTGATGAGAATCGAATGCCACTGCTGATCTAACAGGAGGCGGAGCTCTGCTCTCTTGCCACTTACCTCCTGCTGTGTGGCACCGTTCCTAGCAGGCCACAGACTGGTTCCGGTCCACAGCCCGGGGATTGGGGACCCCTGCATTATACTATTCTCAATGCCTTTGCATATTCTTAGTTTAGCTCTCACTTGTGAGAACATGCGGTGTTTGGTTTTATGTTCCTGAGTTACTTCACTTAGGGTGATGTTCTCCAATTCCATCTGAGTTGCTGCAAAAGGCATGATTTCATTCTTTTTGATAGCTGAGTAGTATTCCATAGTGTATATATATCACATTTTCATTATCCACTGATTGGTTGATGGGCATTTAGGCTGATTCCACATCTTTGCAATTGTGAATTGTGTTGCAGTGGGAATTGGTATTTTTGAGGCTCCCATTTTGAATGATGATAAAGAACCTATTTGACTTGGACCATTGTTCCAAGCAAGATGGGCTGGTCATGAATTCCTTGAAAACACAGGAGGGGAGTCTCTGTTTGCTGTGGGGGCAAGGGGACGTGCACAAGGACATTACAGAACTTATGAGGAAGAGGAGCTTCAGCTAGGGTGAGTCTTGGAGACTCATCAGAGACTCTGAAATTTGAAAACAACTTCCCAATATTGCTGAGATGTGTGTGCACCCCAAAGACAGACATGGTGGAGGGTACTTACAGCGTGGCTATGGCGCCTGGGTTTTCTCTTCCTCTAAATCGAGGAGCAGATAGTTGCACACTCAGACATGAATCTGCTGAAATTTCCTGTTCCCTTGCAAGGCTTAATTTATTTCAGTCATTCAGCCAAAGAAGTGAAGTGGTTCAACCTGATTTCTTTGTTTCTCAGTGGCATCTTGTCTGTTTCTCTAACTGTGCGCCAAGTCACACCGACCATGGCAGAGTGAATCCTCTACATCTCAGGTTTCTTTGGTTGCTGCAGCCAGTCAGGCTTTTCCTAGCTTGAGAGTGAAAAAAAAATTACTGTGAGCTGCCCTGGCCAGGCCTGCCTTGTTTTTGTGCAGGCCTGGGTTCTTGGAAGAGCAGAGAACCATTTCAAACTATCTCTAGGAAGGGCTTCCCAACTTCTTCCCTGTTTCAGCCAGCCATATTCCAGGGGTGCCAAAAAAATGTATGCACGTTTTAAAGGATGTTATCTATGTATTCCTTTTCAAAATTGAATTGAATTATGGCAGCAATGTATAATATGACATTCTCTCAACTTTTCTTCTGCTATTTTCTTTGACCATCCTGCCTGTCTCATGGTGACACTAGCATTCATTTGATGAACGGCATCTTTTGAGCGAACGTCATACTTAAAATGTGTATACACTTTTTTTGGCACCCCTGTATATTTGAAGTCTCATGATAAGCATTGCTGGGCAGGGTGTTAAACTCTTCAGCATTTTTTTCTTCTTTTCACAGTTAACTGTAAACTAAAAATCAAAACAGGAGGGCCAGGGCTGGGGCAATCTCCCAGGAAGCTGAGGGTGTTGAAATCTCCACCCTAGTGGGCATTTTGCTTGGGCGTTGTAACTTTGCCCTCTAAGTACATGAAGTGTGATTTCTAAAACCCCAGGTTCCTTATTGTGAAATAAGGATGTTTTTCAACCTACCTAAGGTAATCACGTTACTTTGAGTGAATTAACACGGGAAGTTGTGTGGGGGGAGAAAGCTAATAATGCATAATGACACATACTTCTCTCCCCTCCCCAAATAATTTGTCTTGAGTTGGGAGTCTCACTGTGTCATGCAGTGGCATGATCATGGCTTACCACAGCCTCGATCTCCGGGGCTCAGGCTATCCTTCTGCCTCAGCCTCCTAAGTAGCTGGGACTACAGGTACATGCCACCATGCCTGACTAATTTTTTTATTTTTGTTTTGTAAAGACAAGGTCTCGCCACGTTACCCAAGCTGGTCTCGAACTCTGGCCTCAAACAATCCTCCTGCCTTGCCTTTCCAAAGTGCTAGGGTTACAAGTGTGAGCCACTGTGCCCGGCTTATTAATCAACATGAATAAACCCACCTTTTTGTGGCAAGGAGGCGGCCTCTGGATTTCTGCCAAATGTTAAACCCTGGTTATTTTCTGCTGAAACCCCTTTTAACTCTGGGTTGCTTTGATGATGATGGGATTAGATTTTGGGAGATTCTTTCTCAGATTCAAATTTTTACTTTAATGGTCTTTAGAAATTAACAAAAGTGGTACTTTAAAAGCGAAGGAATTAAGTCTGCCTAGTTTTGCTATG